AGAGGGTTGAAGTAGGGGGGTGGTGGAGTGTGCAGCTTTTTTTGCAGCAGCTGGGGTTGGTTAAAGAAGGAAAGATTCCCTTGGTGATTTTGCAAAACAATAAGTACTACGGTAGTATCTGTATTAAAAAAGAAAGAAAGAAAGAGACAAAAAAAAGTACCAGTAAATGGGAATCAACTTCAATCAAGTCATACATTTGTGCACTGGACAGAGAGCTAATGCAGTTAGGTTATAGGGTGCTAAGCAGTAAAGAGGGGGGAAGGGGTAAAGGTAGGAGGGGAGAATTATTGCGTTAGACAACGTGGGAGGATGGGGACTGTCTTTACCTGAATAGAACAGCTGATCATCATAGCCGTATTTTGGGCATCTTTCGGGCTAGATACAGCGATAATGTTCTGGTGAAGATGGTAGTAAGTGGAGGAGAGGGAGAGCGATAAAGATCACCTCCCCACCATCTGGTGACACCGTACTCTAAATAGCACTATCTTAAATGTATCTGACTGCATTCGCCACCGCACCTGGATGCATCTGGCCACAATTCCGTCTCGAAATAAGTACGAAAAGTCCTAGTGTGAGTATGCCCTTAGTTAGTGGTGCAGCTAATGCGTTGAAATACAGAATTGAACATAAGGTGGTGTAGAACATTCTGGTAGCGAAAGAATGTTTTTTTATCTGTTTTGGGTACAGAGAGTCAATGACATAGGTTCGGTCCCTATCAACTTGAGAGTTAAAAACACAGAAAATATTTGACATGGAAATGAGTCGTTCATTATCACTTTGTAAGTTTCTATGTTACGACTATTTATAAGCTACAACTAACTTCTACTTTCTCGATTTTTCATATAATTTTTTGTGCTTTTTTTTAGCTACGATAGTTTTATTTAGTATTCATTGAAAAAAAAATAAAATCTGTGACCTTTTTTTTTTTTTGGGGGGGGGGTCAGAGAAAGAAGGAGAAGAGGGGAGGGGAGACTGGTGGTTGAATTTGGGAGTGCAGGTTGCCGCTGTTGTAGGGAGGCTCGGCAGAGAAAACGGAGAAGGGTGAGTACCGCCTTTGCCCGAATACAACGTATGGTCATTATTGCTGTATCTAGACTCAAATACAGCTACAATAACCGTGCATTGTGTTAGGGTGAAGACGGTAGTATATTGTAGGGTTGGAGGTAGGGTGGGCAGTCACAGATACATGAACTGTAGATGGCCTCCACTGGTCGCAGGGGAAGGGTCATGGCAGTCGACTCTTCTATGTACACAAGGGACGCTGGGCTTGGTTCCCAGCACGTGCTGCTCCCCACGAATAAGACCGGAGCTGACAGCACCAGCCTCTTTGCAACAGCTGTGGGCTCTTGTGCCCATCTGTTTCAGGCAGGCTCCATTTGCAGTTAAAAAAAGAAGAAAAAAAGAAAAGGATTGGCAGTCACACCCACCAGTCGCATAGATCAAGGAGGGGGGGGGGAAGTATAAGTCAGGTTTGTTATATGGATTGATTGGAGGTGTGAAGCGGGCTTTCCTAATTAAGAAACTTCAGTGTTTTGTCTGAATTGAACTGTATTCCTGTATAGGTGCGGTCTTGGCATATCTCATCAATTCTGCTCTCAGTGTGGTCTTCTCATGCATGCTGATCAGCGAGTTTGTGTTGGTCGTGCCTGGAAAACAGCACGAACCTGGCCGTCATGGAAGCCAGGTTCATGCTGGTAAGTGAGTGCTTGTTGGTCGTGACTTTGCAAGCATGCTGATCAGCGAGTTCGTGGTGGTCGTGCCTTGCAAAACGCATGAACCTGGCCGTAATGGAAGCCAGTTTCATGCCGGTGAGTTTTTGTTGGTCGTGACTTTGCATGCATGCTGGTCTTGCCTTGCAAAAAGCGCGAACATGGCCATAAAGGTCGCCAGGTTCAGTTCTCACAGGCAGGTTCCTTGCAAACAGGCAAAAAAAAAAAAAAAACCCGAGGACTGTTCCCCTGCCAGTTTTAACCATGGATCTAACTGTTTGTGGAAAACATGACCAGGTTCTTTGCACTCTCTTATTTTGAATGTACCTGCTGTCTGTATGTGAGAAGGGCTTATCAGAGGCAAGAACGCCTCGTTATTCAAGGGGCTCCGGCACCCTGGACACATTTGAATTTTTCGAGGAGGATGAGGAGGCGGCGGCGCTGGTGAACAGAACCCATGACAGAGGAGGAGGGGGAGGAGGAGGAGGAGGAGGAGGAGGATGCCCGCAAGGAGATGGTCCGAGTCAAACCCTTGATGTGGAAAATGAAGCAATTCAGAAGGCACTGGCAGCAGATGGGGGAAATGAAGTGAGTATTGCATTTCTTCTGATTCCGTCGGGACTCGAACTTGGGTCTGTTTACCAGCAACAGTTCATGCCTTTACCATTCAGCCACATGTGCCCATTACTCCAGCAATTGCACCAAAGATTAGATATAAAGTACCTATATCCTTGTGGTCTGTGGAAAACAGCCATCTCTGTGCAAAATTTGTCATATCAGTTGTTCCCCATCTTTCAGTAATAAAATGCAGCTTTGTTGAACTAGTTTTGACTGATGTTTTTGCAGTTTTGAAAAGCGAAGTTGGTTGTGTGATTCATGCAATGTCTGATGAACAAGATATGGGCAAAATGGGCGGGTTAGCTTCTTTGTTAGCTTTTACTTATGCTATGATGCTAATAGGCAGCATGTCTTTAATTGGATTTCGTTTTTTAACTGGATTTTATTCGAAGGATGTGATCTTAGAACTAGCGACTTCTCGGTCCTTTGTGGTAAAAAATCTCTAAACACACGCAGCCCGGCAGGATTTCAAAGGCGCGAAGCACTACAAAAAGGCCAAAGCACCCTACTATGTCTTTTCTGGAAGGATTTCCACCCTTTTATTATGATTCCAGCCAGTTTTTAATGGAAAAAATCCACTTTATCACAATTCAAATGTAAGAGATTGGGAAGAGAACAAGGGCCTCGCTCCATTACTGCTCACCAAGTGTGCAAAATGAGAATAAATCTTCCTCTAGAACATGGGAAGATACTCCGCCATTTCTGTTTTTGTCTTTGGTGCACTTTGGAGAGTAGTGGAGCGAGGCCTCAAGACAAGCGGAGAGGAAGAACGGAGAATGGGAGAAGAGGAAGATGATAAACACAAGCTGATACAAAACTATCCTCTCCCTCATCTCACCTCCATCCATCGCCATGCGGCAGCGGTGACTACTGGTGGTTAGTAAATAAATAATAAAGAACAATAATGAATGTAGAAGCCAGAATCAATGTGCGAATACGTGGTGGTGGACATGCGGCGGCGACGACGACTTTTGGAAGTACTGGTGGTTTAGTAATAATAAACAAGAATAATGAATGTAGAACTTGTAGAAGCCATAATCAATGTCTGAAGTATACCCTCACTGCCGGCATGTCCAAAGTAGCTCAATTGGCCCTCCTACGCCTCTTTACACTCTAGCACATGGCTACTGGCCGTGGTGGGGCATCCAAGGTGACCTCGGATGTTCAGAGGACAATGCAGATGCTCTCATCATGGGTCTCATGTCCTTACCCTCCTCCGCTACTGCCATGCCCACACTCACAGGTGGAGTACCAGTTTTCACTTCAACTCCCTTTGGGGCCTTCCAAGTTCAGCGCAAACTCAGATATGAAGGTGAAGGTCCACCACCATAGCCAAGGTATGTCTCCTCCTTCACCTTCTTTTTCCTCCTTCCTCCTTCCTCCGTCCTCCTTCTTCTTCCTCGTCCTTCCTCCCTTCTCCTCCTCCTTCCTATGTCCTCCTTCTTCCTCCTCCTTCCTCCTCCTTCCTCCTCCTTCCTCCTCCTTCTTCGTCCTCCTTCCTCCTCCTTCCTCCTTCTTCCTCCTCCTTCCTCCCTTCTCGTCCTTCTTCGTCCTAGCTGCTGCTTGGCACTGTTCGGCCAAGCTCTCGGTCCAGCATCCAGTCTAGCGCAAAAAGGAAGAAAGAGGAGCAGCAGCTCATGGCTCCTCCTGATATACTTGGGCGGCTGCCTGATTTGTTCAGTGTCTCCCAGCTTACCCAGTCTCTAGGGCCTACCGGTTCCTGGCTATTTTGGTGGGACATGTCCTGCGGAATGCTACCCTACCTACAGCATCTGGACCTAGACACGTTTCCACACTGTATACTGGGCCGGTAGCTTCCGAATCTTCCCCTATTGGGCTGGTGCCTTCTGAATCTTCTCCTAGGCCTACTGGGACTCAGGAAATCCCTCAGCCTACCTGACATCGTTCTTTGTCTTCTTCTACCTACCTGCCTGGTACTCCTTTCTCTTGGCCTACTTCTGCCTACTTCCCAACCTAGTACCTGGTGCACAGGCCACAATCACCGCATCAGTGGTTAGTACCAGGCCCGAGGGGGGCCAAAAACCATTCATGCACGCCATCACACCTGGTCACACAGAGATCCTCAGAACTCGGACAAGCACGCAGCACAGAGATAAGAGCACCCGTGATCGCAGAAACAGACGTGGATATCAGAAATGTCGAGAAACACGTGCAACAGCTGCAAACCCGGATAAACACAGAAATCTCAGTCTGCAATTTTGCAGTCTATTACACTTTTCTTTTTATTTGAGCATTTCTGTTCTCCGTTCCGATAAATCTTTTTTTTTTTTTTTTTTTTTTTTATAGCTGAACGCTAGACACCGCTCGGCATGAGCGCGAAGTGGGAAATCGAGTGTCTGGTGACTGAGCAAACCCTGTTGAGGGGGTACGGGTTCAGAATGACCGTAATGGCTGTTTCCGGAGGCTACTTGGGCCGCCCGACTGTGCAGCCCAGGCCGGGGGCATCCAGGCAAGTCACTTGGGGGGTCTGACGCCCGTCAGACCCGGGTATGGGAATAAGTGGGGTCCCTTTTTTTTGAGGGGGGGGGCGGTGGTCGGGGTTTTCTGCGCATGCCCAGATGAGCCCCGTTCCTGGATCTTTTCCATTTTTGAGTGTTCTCTGTGAAAAGGGGGGGGAGGGGGGTATAAATTGGTTTTAAACAGGTAGTACATGACCCCAGCCTTGCAGAAAGTGAACTCGTCGCCTACTCCAAAAAGTTCAGGGCCGCCGCGCCGTTGATAAATTTCATGAAGGCCGGCGTGGCTTTTCGGGCCTCAGAAACTCGCGCTGAGGGTCCTGCTGCCGATGTATGGCCATGACTGGTGGTTTAGAGGGACTAAAGGGGTTCAAACTCTAAAGGGGGTTGGCTTAGTCTGATTCTTTTTCCATTTTTCTTTTTTGTCGTTGATTCTGTGAGGAATTCTGATGTGATGCTCAGCCAAAAGTCGTTTTCATTGCAAGTCTACACAGCAATTTTTTTCCCCTTTTTTTCTTTCTTTGTTTTTTGCGCTGGGGGTGCCCAGAACCCTGCCCGTGGGTCATGCCCGGTCGGGCACGCGGGCGTGTATCTGGACACAAGTTGGGTGCCTGGGCGCCGGGAAAGACACCCTAGATGTTTTCCCAATTTCTTCTGAAAAAGAAACCGAAAGGGAAAAAACTGTGTTATTTTGACTGGATGTACAGGGGATCTGAGGGGGCCTGTGTGCGTGCATCATGTACGCATTCTGTACGGACCGTACCCCCCATTGTAGAGTGAGTGTGTGTGTGTGTGTGTGTGTGTGTGTGTGTGTGTGTGTGTGTGTGTGTGTGATGGGGGCCAGAAACCTCCAGGATCATATCATGGCGAATTGCGCTGAAAAGTAGGATCATGAAAGGCTCAAAAGAGACGGTGAGAAATCCAGTACAAGCTATAATGAACGGCATATATGGAGAACTAGGCAGATGCATTTACTTCCCAAACGACTTCACAAAAACCTCCGCTTATATTGAGCGACAACAACTGATCGCAAGGCAGCGATGGAAAAGGCTGCAAAGCACAAGGCAGTGAGTGAAAAGGGTGCAAAGCAAAAGGCAGTGAGTGAAAAGGGTGCAAAGCAATAGGCTGCAGAGCACAAGCAGCAAAGGCATAAAGCAGCAAGGAAAAGGAAGCAAGCCCAAAAAAAGAGAGCAAAACAAAGGCAGCACAGGCATTGTTGCATACTCGTGAAACACAGTCATAAGTATGGCGCAGATCCCCAGAACCGACCAGATAATGCAGAGTAAGTACAATTACAGTGGAAGACTTGATACACATGGATTGACTCAGACCTGACTCAGACCGCAACGAAGCACTCACAAACATGCATCGGTGGTGTGAAAGCCCTGGCCTTGGACATGGAAGAAAAGGCCAGGGTCCAATCTCATACACGGATGAATGGAGGGGAGGAGAGACGAAGGGAGGAGGAGAGGGAAGATGACTTCAACTAAATGTCTCCAAAAATAGTATCCCGAAATGTCATAAGTAGCGGAAATCCGAAATGTCGTGAATACAGAGTCTCACAGTGTCCCAGAAATCGATCTCCCAATGTCAAGATACATCCTGAGAGCTAGATGAAGTCAGATCCCAAAAGTAGTCCTCAACCGAAAGTCTCAATGTTGTTATCTCAAATATCATCAGAACTCGTAACCATCCTTCATACTCGTAGTAGTCCAGTAGGAGTAACCCAAGAGTAGACTTAGACTTAGAGGGTAGGAGGAGAGAGAGAGAGAGAGAGAGAGAGAGAGAGAGAGAGAGAGAGAG